ACTCGTCTAACGTGACATCGATCGAGGGGCGTTAAAGCCAATTACGACAGCAACGGGGCTTCCACTATGCCCTAAGTGCCAAGATTGTGGGAGCAAGAGGGTCCCTGCTACCACCCATAGGGGGCACTGAGCATTCCTAAAGGAAGAACTCAGTGGCCTTTTCATCGCGAACCGTGCTTTTAAGGACTATCTAGCAAGCTAGCAAGTAATAAGAACAGTGGAGGCTTATTCTTTCCCCAGTTGGGAGGAACCTACTGGAAGATTAATGGGGGCAGTTACTTCAATGGAAATCTCAGCCTAACAATTAATGCAAATCCTGGGCCAGTGAAAGGATTACCTTGAAAGCGTATTATATCCGGGGTTAAACGAGTTTCCCTCGAAAGTTTTTGTTACTAGTAAGAGAGTTTGGATACCAACAAGGTGAGTAACAGTTCAAGAAATCTGAACCACCTTCAGTTCCGAAGAGGGCCATGATCTTTTTTTTTCACGTCGACCAGATAAAGCGTTCCTCCTATAACAAAATAACACGAGTTTACTTCTGAGTTTTTGCGGACATTGATAAAATAGTAAGTATTTGAACTGGTAGTTTACTTGTGGTCCCCTTCAAGATCTGTCTCAAGAACCATATTGTAGGTTTACCATTGACGTGAGGTGATTTATCGTCGACAAGATTCCCTCGTGATCTACTTAAGGTTTCTCATGACCTGACGGTGATCTACTTGCGATCTGATTTCGTGTGACATTTGAGTATCTTTCTTTCGGGCGTGTCATCTCTTTTTTTTCGGCGTAACTGATCAGTGACAGTTTAGTGATGGATTATCACAGTGCGGTCATTTTCAACATGCATAGCCAATTGAAAACAACAGTTTCAAGACGAGTTTATTTTATTTGATGAAAATTCAAAAGAGTGAGTTTTTCAAAAAAAATATTGAAAGTTTGAAACAAAAGGGCGTTGATGGAAACTAAATGTCATATATTAGCAAGGTACACCAGATTCACGGTCAATCGTTTCAGGACCAACTGGCAATAGCAGATTTAAAAGAAAANNNTGTCGTACATTTGTCCTATAACAGGAGTGAAAGTTGTTGAATGAAGCAGGAAACCCGGAAGACAGCACAGGACATCAACGGTGGACATCCAGCACAGAGGACAGGATGAAACTCGGTTCTTTCCCACCGGGGCCCTCTACCCTACCTACGTAATACTCTTGGGCAGCTGCACTAGTCAAAATCGGTGTTTCATCTAGACTAGAACTGACAAATCTCGTTTACCATGAAAATTCGAACAAAGCTTTCCCAATGAACCTAGCTTACCTGGACCAGGACTAAGCAGGTAATGTGATACCAGAAAAAGCTGAGGAACTGAAGAGAGATGTTTCCATTGTCTCTTCCGTATGTTTTCAATCAAGCCACCTTTTTTGGTGGGCCGAAGACCCAGTAGCTACCGGATCGCAGGTTTATTGAAGTTTTCAGAATCCGGCACAAGAGAGCCGCCGCTTTTTTGATTTACAGTTGTCCAGCTGAACAACTTCGAGCGTTCTTCATAACTTCTCGATCAAAAAATGGAAGTAAAAAGTGGTACAGCTGGAGCCGGCTTCAGTTTTCCTCCCACTGACATATCCTCTTCGAGAATGGCAATGTACATCGAGACAGAGACAGTGACCAGAGAATGGAGGACCAAAGGGTTCTCTATGGTCCCTTTGCATATTATATCGAGTTTCTGCTGAAAGCTGAAAGTTTCAGTCATATTTCGACATACTCAGGAAACATAAGTCATTTTAGTTCTAATTTAAGCTATTAACGGGTTAGCTACTTCATCGTTTCTTTTCCTAAGACAAAGCTTGAACCTTGTACCTTTATAGAACAAATGGATAACTTAAATATCACCCTCGGGTTATATGATTTTATCCTATTTCCCCTTCCCTCACCCCACGTCCCCTTTTCCTTCCTCTTTTGCTTACTTTTAACCTATTCGAGCCTGTGGATTTATAATTTAGTACAATTTAGTAATGGTGGTCGCTGCCACGTAAATCGATCAAGGCAGATCAAAGGTGTGAAGGTCCTTCCAAGATTGCCTGATACTTGTGATTGCCTGTACAACTGTGTACTAACGCTGTGCCGTAAATAGAACATTTATACCATAATATGTCAAAATAGTACAGAATAAAGAGGAATACAACGTCATACTTTTTGCTTTCGAGACAGTGTAAAATAAGTGAAGCAGAGAGGAACTAAGAATTAATTGGCATCTATTCAATCCCGAAAAACTTTTTTATGTACACAATTCCAAGAGGGTAACGAAATGGAAATACAAAATAACCGTTTTCACATAGTAGAACTTTCAATATAACAACCATGTTGTGAGGTAGTAAATAAGCTTGAATGTTGGACGAGTACTAAGATTTCGTCAATTTTTAATTGGACCCATTTTTCCGTACAATGGATCATCCTCAGTGTCCTTGCTCTGGAAGTCATCCTTGATCAAATCCGAAGGGCCATGAAAAACGCTCACGATTGGGCTGCCTGAAATCGTTCCAATAATTAAAGTATCATATTCTATCATTGAATTTTACAAAGGAAACGTCATTATCGTACCGTGGATGCTTCCGAGAAGGATAGGAGGTTCCTCCAGGACCAATTTTGGTATCTGAGCTTGAACGGAGGGAATGACGGTACTGCAGAGTAAAGCCGTGATCACGAAGTATGCAAACATGACTGAAAATGGTCTGAGATGAGCAGGAGGACGAGTTGACACGACGGAGCAACGAAGTACTACCCGACTGTTGGATTTAATTGAAATGTGGATGCAAGAATAATAATTGTTATCTTTAAAAAGTGACGCCTCCACCGTTCAAAGGTTACTTTCTAAAGATACGAGTAAGTCAGGAGAGTATGTTGTGGTCAGGACGAGCTACCACACCCGGTGGCACTGCTCTGAATAAATGGTTGGTTGGTTGTGATATTCAGAACGGAGAGGTTGGTAGGTGTGGCTAAAAGTGGCGCCGTTGGCGCCTCATTGTCGGTACGCCTGTCATCTCGCGACAACTCGTACACGTGCAGTGAAGATGGATCACACCTGTGAATGAATTGAAAATAGAAATCCGTGATGTGCGGTGGAAACGCGGATATGACAGGAAGATCAATCACTGCAATCCATCACCTACAGTCCACCGATAATACGGTAAGATCAACTATTATCACCTTAGAAGTTTAGAATGTTTCCAAAAAAATAAATAATAAATAAATGATAAATAAAAATAGCCACTACAATCAGGAAACTTATCCAAACAAGGTCTTCAAGGTGCACATCCGCGTAAATACTGCTACCATTGACATTATCACTAATAATGCTAATATCACTATTTACCATTAAAAATATACCGGAGGCAGAAATTACAAAAAAAAGACTATCTTAGAAAATCAATAAATATAATAGTATTCTGACACATATAGGTGACAAAACTGTTCAATTCTTTTGGTATTTTCCAATTTTCTCAAGGTTGGGAGAGTGATGGGCCTTTCCTATGAAGAGTTCGATCCAGTACTACTACTGGTGACTAGACGGATGCTGATTTTACTGGACCATCAAAAACTAAACTCTCAAATGCAAAAAAATCAACCGTATCGAGGTGGGTAGACCTGAAAATGCAGTTTTCGGCTCTGTTTGGGTTTTGTGTGACCCTAACTTTCCTCTTGAATGAAATCACCTGAACACTTCTTTCGTTTATTCTAAGACCTGGTTATTACCATTCCATTTCCTTCTCGTGCTCAGGTTCAGTGCCGAGAGTGCCCTATTTTGTAAAAGTACATAAGTAGGGTAACAAGTTACCACTAAACTGTCCTAGCTAACTCTTGAAAGTTTTTTTGTTTTCAGAACTCCGTCGAACAAGCAGCCGTTCGTTTTGAGTGTTGATTAATGGGCTACCTTTTGGAAGGTTCATGTTTTCTCTAAGATACATTCACTTCTTTGAAATTACCAGTAGCTTACTTGTAGTTCTACTCTGTGTATTTGTATTTCTTATACTTGTTTTTAGGTATTTCCTCCCCTCTAATGGCACATTCATCACAAAATTCTAACATTTACCCGAAATCAACGTTTCACAGTACCCTATGTGGGTACATTAAAAAAAAAACGGNGAGAAATTTCATGAAATCATCCGCGATCACCATCAGCTGCTACAAACTCATCAATCGCCACCGGTATATAGGAGATGACAGTTCGACAGCATATGGTGTAACAGATAGGGCCTTCCTCAGTCTTTTTTCCCCACAAACCTTGTCACCACCTGTTCGAAAAAAAGCTGAGGACTTGTTCACTGCGCCGTCTTCGTTTGTTCGATGAAATTCACGAATATTTTGAAAAGTGGGATAAATAGCACAATGTAAATGATGGTAAACCGTTGTAAAGATTGTTCCATGAGAACGGCACCTCGTGCAGAATGCTCTTTCTGAGTTTTCAATTATTTTTATACTAGATTCAGGCTAATTTGAGAATAATATAGTAGGTAGCCTTATGAGTATAAGGGTAATGGGAAGGGTGTTGAGCGAATTCATTTCCAGTGACTGCAGAGAAATATGCGCTTACTTTTGTGTGTTCTTGACTTTCTCAGAAAAAAGTATGTTTCAGTGGCAGTTTCAGTGGCAAAAGGCCGTCTCATCCCACCACTGTGTTTTTATCTTTTTCCGAGTTCCGNCCGCATCTCTTTCACGGAGGTTGTTTACAAGTTCAGAAAAATAAACTGCGTAGTACACTTCTTGGATCCCTCGTAAACACGAGCGGACGCATGTTAATGCAGGCCAAGCCAAAGTGAGTGCTGTGATCATGAAATGAATTAGCTTAAGACAATCTAACAATAGCAACCTCAGTGGTTGTATGTTCTGATTGACTACAATTGAAGTGATATACTGGATTACTTACGTCTAGTAACTCAACAAGTATGATTACAGCAGAAAAATCCTAAAACAGCCGACTTTTAGCTTCAAATGCTTTCAGAAAACCAGTGCAGCCGAATTCCTGACAGAACAAAAATGCTAAATTCATGTAGTTTTTTTTCAGAAAAGTGGCTTTTTTGAAAAAAAACGATTTTTTAAGATTTTTGCTCCACCACATTCAAAAAAAAATACCCCAAGCTTGGAAACTCAATAGCCTGCTTAGAAATGTAAGAAATCTACGAAGGAGGACCATCTTGGAACTTTTCGAGTTCTTTATATTTTCCAAAGAGGGTAAGGGCTCTTTAAGAATGGAATCCAAGTTAGAACACCTAAAAAATCATTTTGGATGGTAACTTGTATTTTAATTGGATTAAAGTGGAACGTGAACTTGTAGGAGTTTTCAATCACCTTAACTTTAATTGAAACGGAGCATGAACTTGTAAGAATGGTCAAAAAACAAGTTTCATTCCCTTAGTGAGGAAATTGGCTTCTGGGANCTTAGTGGGAATGTGAAATATTTGGACGAGTTGTTTATAACAAGATTTTCCTTCTTTTCATTATTTGATGACGGCGAATCAGCCAAAACGGCGTTCACTTCCAAACTTTTCTCGAGGGATTATAAACTGCCAGATCCTATTTATCCTCCGAATTTGATAGTTATTACTTCTTTGTAGTCTAGGCCGAGTGCTATGCAGACCTCTGTCCTGTACTGCACAAAAGCCGTGAAAGCCGAGTGCGTGGCTCATCTCAATGTTACCAGCCTTCTTTTCGTTTTACAGATCCCTTCAAGGGTACTTAAATCTCATTTGAAACAATTTTCTGAGGGAGAGCATCGAAGAATTAGGGCTGAAAGGCCGAAGGAGGGATGTGAAGAAGATTTAGGTAGGGCCTAGTGGAGGGACCAGCCCGTCTCTGGCAAAACGGCACTCACTTTCAAGTCTGCGGAAATTTCAACTGTTCCCTCCGATTGTCGAAAATTCGGACCACCCTCGTGCAAACCGCTCTTTAGCAGCATGTACGTATGCAGTTGTTGTTCTTCCGGTGCCTAACTCAGTTTCCGCCGTCACCTCCACCTCCCCTCCCCTCCTTGGGTGGTCGCGTGCAATCGCTTGCGGAAAATCGCCGTTTCGCGTGTTATTCTGCATCTGCAATCGCGGGCTACTTCATTATGATCGTCGTATTTCATCAGGTCTCCTTCTTCTTCGATGATTCTCCCCGCATTACATTCGGGGAGGGAACTGCATGAGTTATGTTTCTCATAATTGAGTTACTCACCGCGCAATGACGCCCTCCCCCTCGGCACTTGTTCAATACTCCCGCTATAGTGAATTTGTAATTTTTCGGGGCCCCACCAAGGCTATGGGTGATCTCTGGCCTTCTTTCGACTATCATTAAGTTCCCAAGACAATTCAAATGTCTGAGGTGAATTGAATTAACTGGAATATCCGCTTCAGTGAACACGATGAGTGTTCTCATCGATATCAATCACAGAAGGTTATGTCGGAGGTTATTATCTCGTACAATAATGGGTCATGTAAACCAACTGTCGATTGTTTTGTTTCCTCATGCGTAGCAAATACGGTACATTACCAGTTTTGCGAAAAAATTGCTGTTTCAAATGTTAGATGTCTCATCAGAGCAGTTCATCGCATATTTTTTCAACACAATTTG